ACTACTCCCTAGGTAACAGCCATCCATCCACTTCCTGTCTTACAGATTCATTTCAACATGAGCTACTTTTAAAAAAATTTAATTTTTTTATTGTGTATATAGACACACACACAACACACACACAAACATACACATATATGTATGTATGTCCACATATGAGTACAGATACCTGCAGAGTCCAGAAGAGAACATCGGATCCCTGGGAGCTGGAGTTATAGGCAGTTATGAACCGCTCACTGTGGGTACTGGGAGCTGAACTCAGGTCCTCTGCAAGAACAGTATGTATCTTTAACTGCAGAGTCATCTTTTCAGCCCGGACTCTGAGCTACTTTTACCTGAGGAAGAACTAGATGGCTACCTTGCTGAGGTCAGCATATTTCAGGTCTCTTTGTTTGTAGCTGACTGTTAAAGAACTGAATGGAGGCATTGTCTACATAACTGGACTTCTGAGCATCTGTGATATTTTCTTAAACCCCCATGTTTTCATGGAAAAATCTTTGATTTCCCCACCCCCACTCCTCATGCCTTAGGTCAGTTCCCTGAGGAGTAGGGAAATTCACAGACAAGAAGGCTCATTAGAGAGGCCCCAGTGTGTTAAGGTACACGGACTGGGACGGCTACGACAGACTCTGCCCACCCAACGGGGGCTCTGATGCAGGAGTGACCTTCAGAGCTGCTCTGGGGAGGAATTAGGACCTTAGTCTGCCCAAATGGGCCTGTCTCCAGATATAGGCTATCCTGGGCGCAGGTGGACCTTAGGCTAGGTAGCCTTTTCCACTAGAGGACAATTCCCAGGGAAGGGCCAAGAGCCATAAGTCACCAAAGCTCACAGCAGCTGAGAAAGTGAGAGTCTCAGCTCTGGAGGGAATCCAGGGGGGTTCATCATGGCAGCCCTGACATGGTGTGTGCTGGCAAGTGTCCTCAGGGATCATTTAGACGTGTGGGAGCTGTGTGCACCCATCAGCCATCACTCCCCACCATGTTCCACACCTGCCCCTGGCAACCAGGCATCTGCTGTGAGTCTCCACGGATTTGTGAGTCATACCTCTTCACTGTGCGCCCTGGGGAGGAAGCCCGCTGGGGAGATGCATGGTTCTCCATGGGTCAGAGGTCCGATCTAGGGGACAGGGTCATATGTCATCAAAAGCAGGGCTGCTCAGCCTCCTCTATGCCTTTCATGTGTGCTTCTATACCTTCTCCCATGTCACCCACACCTGAGACGCTAAGGGTTCTGATTCCCACCCCCGCCCTCATTTGTCTAGTAAGCTGGTCTCAGTCATTTCTCCAGCTGTCATTTCTGACATCTTTCCGTAGGTGACTGTCCCTGCCTCCTTGTCTTGGTCCTTTCTTATTTTAAGCATCATGCCTGGTGCCTTCCCTGGCCCTAATTAAAACCTGTGACATTTCATTTCCTTCTGAGTCACATTCCCCCATCCACTGTGTCTAAGACTCTGCCTTACCTTGCCCACTCTGCCTGATGCTCAGTGGTGGTTTGAAAGAAAATGGCCCTCAAAGGAAGTGGTACTACTCGGAGGTGTGGCCTGGTTAGAGTAGGTGTGATCTTGGAGAAAGTGTGTCACTGTGGAGGGGGGCTTTGAGGTCTCACATATGCTCAAGATACCGCCCAGTGCCTCAGTCCACTTCCTGTTGCCTTCTGATCAAGATGTAGCCTGTACCATGTCTGCCTACACACCGCCATGCTCCCTGCCATGGTCTGAACCTCTGAAACTGTAAGTGAGCCACCTCAATTAAACGTTTTCCTTGATAAGAGTTGCCATGGTCATGGTGTCTCTTCATAGCCATAGAGACCCCTAACTAAGACACCCAGCATGGGGCCTTACAGGGGTGCCTCCAACCACCAGTGTCAGCTCTGCCTAGAGGGATGACTCCCCAGTGATTACTGTCCCTGGAACATGGATATTCAGATGACCTGGGTATGGCCACACACCCAAATCCAGACTTAAAAATAAAGGAACACTCAAGGGAGTGTATTCATGTCACTTCAAGAATTATTTTGTTATTTTATGTGTATGTATGTGTGTCTGAGTGCATATATGTATATACCACATGTGTGTCGGATCCCACAGAGGGGCAGGGAAGGAACAGTGGCAGGCAGGCATGGAGGCAGGAACAGGAAGTCAGCTGATCACATTTTCATTCACAAGTAGGAAGCGAGGAAAGGGGAGAGAACAGGAAGTAGGGTGAGTCTATCAGTCCTCAAATCTGCCCCTAATGACGTACTTCCTCCAGCAAGGCTCCACCTCCCACAGGTTCCATAGCCTCCCCAAACATTGTCACCAACTGGGGATCAGGTATTCAAACACATGAGCCTACAGGGGACATTTCTTACTCAGACCACCACAGGTACCTTTTATACATTTGTAGCGACATGAATATACTTTGTATCATGACGTACTAAGATAAATAGTAACATTTCAGGCAGGCAGTCCACGCCTTCTGTATTGTCTCTGTGATCTACCCACAGGTATTCACATTCATCTAATGGATCTGAAGTACAGGCTCTAGGAGTCTGTGATTTCCATGTAACAGGCTTCATTTCAACATTGGTTCCTTCAGGGTTGTGTGACATCCTGGCATTGGGCTGTGGGGCTTCTGCCATTTTGTCAGGTTCTCTAAGTAGGAACACAAACATTGGGCTGGACTGGGCTGGGCTGGGCTGGGTTGGGCTGAGGGACAGGTCTCTAAATCTCTCCTGGATGTGGCCAGACGGCTCTTCCAATTCATACTTATTCCAGCATGGGGCATAGCCTTGCCTGGGGGCCATCCCATACACACCTGTGCCGAGAGTGGGAAATCCCACCACGCTATTCCTGCTTTGCCTCTTCTGGCCACAGATGAAGCTGAGAATCGTGCATGTGTTTATCGGCCATTTGTACTTTTGTTTTCTTCTGTGAAATCCCTTTTTTTTGTTCCTAAGAGGCTTTTCAAGGCATGTCCTGTGATACTTACGACAGTGGAACCCCACCGGCCAAGTGAGGCGGGGGAAATCCACTTAGACGTCTGTATTCCAGGGCCTACCTCCCACTTAACATTTATTATTTATGTCTGAAGGACACGTCTTTCTCTCTGATGTTTCCAGGTTATTCATTCGTGCAGCACACAGTTCAGTAGGTTTTAGTGGATGGACAAGGTATCCCTGTACCCACCAGCTGCCGCTCTCCTCTCCCCTTTACAGTCGGCCCCTGCAAACAGGAATCTCCTGTTAGCGTCTGCGGGTTGTCTTTACTGGGCTTTATGCAGAGATGGACTGTACAGTGCCTGGCCCTTTGTATCCGGCTGCTTTCACTTGGCACGATGGTTTCAAGGTTCAACATCTCCCAGCATGCAACAGCACCCCATGGCTGCTTTTCTTTGTCAATTGATGACCCTTTCTCTGTAGACAACACTTTGTTAACACATCCATTAGCAGATAGACTTGGGTGGCTTTTTTTTTTACTGAATTCTCTTTTGGATTGTACACACATTCTTTTATGGCTGGTCCTCTAGAGCAGCAGTTCTCAACCTGTGTGTCGTGACCCCCCCTGGTAAACCTCTATCTCCAAAAAATATTTACATTATGATTCATAACATTAGTTAAAATTACAGTTATGAAGCCGGGCGGTGGTGGCGCACGCCTTTAATCCCAGCACTCGGGAGGCAGAGCCAGGTGGATCTCTGTGAGTTCGAGGCCAGCCTGGGCTACCAAGTGAGTTCCAGGAAAGGCGCAAAGCTACACAGAGAAACCCTGTCTCGAAAAACCAAAAAAAAAAAAAAAAATTACAGTTATGAAGTAGCATTGAAAATAATTTTAGGTTGGGGGGGTCACCACAACATGAGGAACTGTAGTAAGGGGTCGCAGCCTTAGAAAGGTTGAGAACCACTGCATTAGAGAACCCTGTCCCATACACCATGGACCTGCTGGGTCAAATTGTGACCTGTATGCTTAATTTTTTGAACTGTCAAACTGTTCCTCACAACTGACCCTGAGTTGCATTCTGGTTGGCAATGACTTCTGGTCTTTAGAGCCCAGGTCCTTATCTTTATGGTTCTAGCCATATTGGGAGGTACAGAGTATTCACCTTTATATTCTTGGAAGTTTTAAAATTTTGAATTCTAGGGCCTGGAGAGATGGCTTAGAGGTTAAGAGCACTAGCTGCTCTCCCAGAGGTCCTGAGTTCAATTCCCAGCAACCACATGGTGGCTCACAACCACCTATAATGAGATCTGGTATGTAGGTACAACACTATATACATAATAAATAAATAAACAAACAAACAAATAAATATATCTTTAAAAATTTAAATTCTATTATTATTATTATTATTATTATTATTATTATTATTATTATTAATTGCTTATGTTTAGTTTTCTTTTGAGACAAGTCTCCTGTAGTCCAGGCTGGCCTCAAACTCCTTATGTAGCCAGGGATGACCTTGAACTTTTGGTTCTTGTCTCTACCTCCTGGGTGTGGGACCACAATGTGTGATACTGAGTGTTGTGGAATATTAAGATGTGTTACATTTGTTTATGCTGTGGAACATTTGTTTAATGATGCAAAGATGTGTTGCCTTCTTTCATGTTGTATCTGTTTAACTCTGTGAAGCTGTGTGACTGTGCCTGCCCAAAACACCTGATTGGTCTAATAAAGAGCTGAACGGCCAATAGCTAAGCAGGAGAGGGATAGGCGGGGCTGCCAGGCAGAGAGAATAAATAAGAGGAGGAATCTAGGCTAGAGGATCGAGTAAAGAAGGGGAGGAGAACACAAGGAGACAACCACTTAGCCACACAACCAGCCATGGAGCAAGAAGGAAAGAAAGGTATATAGAACAGAGAAAGGTAAAAACCCAGAGGCAAAATTAGACAGAATAATTTATGTTAGGAAAGCTGGCTAGAAACAAGCCAAGCTAAGGCAGGGCATTCACAGGTAAGAAGAAGCCTCTGTGTATTTATTAGGGAGCTGGGTGGAGGGCCCCCAAAGAACAAAGACTGAAACAAATGAGTCCAGCTTCTCCTTGAGCCTCTAATTTATTTGTTCAGATGTGCCATGGTGTCAAAGTTTCTTTTCCTTTGCTTCTTGATCCTTTACATAAAAAGAAATCATTCTTCAATAAGTCATGAACACTTAGATTTTTTTCTGAGAGTTTTATAGCCAGTTCATCCAGTTTTAGTTACTTTTTGTAGAGGATATGAGGTCGGGACCTAAATTTATTCTTTTTCTATTTGTTGGTTTGTTTGCTGGATTTAATTTTGAGACAGGTCTCATGTAGCCCAGGCTTGCCTAGAACTTGCTGTGTTAGCTGAGGATGACCTTGAACTTCTGGTACCCCTGCTTCTCCTCCTGAGTGCTGGAATTAGAAGGGAATGCCGTCAGGCCACGATATGCACATATGGAGTCTGGTCTTCCAAGTGTCCCAACAGCATTTGTTGAACACACTACTCTTTCTCCCATTTAATTATCTTGATAGTCTTGACAGAAGTCACTTGACGATGTGTGAGGGTTTATTTCTGGACTCTCGGTTTTATTCTGTCCATCCAGATGGCAGTTCTGACACCACGACCACACTGTCTTGATTACTGTAGCTTTGTAGTGATGACGCTGGTCTTTCTTCCAGATGGAAACTGAAAAGCACATTTACCGCTCGCCTTGGAGGGATATGGGGCAACGGGTTCTTCAAGCACACTCCCTGGGCCTGCAGCATCAGCATCAACCAGAGCAGAGGTTCTCAACCTGTGAGTCACGACCCCACAGCAGTCACATATCAGATATCCTGCTTATCAGATACTTACATTACAATTCATAACAGTGGCAAAATTACAGTTACGAAGTAGGAAGGGAAATAATTATATGGTTTGGGGTGGGGGGGTGGGGCGTCACCACCCATGAGGAACTGTATAAAGGGTTGCCGTGGTAGGAAGGTGGAGAACCGCTGCTCCAGACACTGGTCAGAAATGCACTTTCTCAGGCAGTGCCCTGGGCTTGCTTCACTAAAATCTCTGGGCCCCTGTGGCCCAGCAGTCGGCATCCTAACAGGCTCTCCAGTGGTTCTGCTGGGTGCTACAGCCTGGAATTCATTGCATTGCGCCTGCACTGTCTTGGTGTCCACCGGGACAACCACAAACCCATACGGTTATCGATTGAGCAGTGGGGCTGTAGTCAATCCAAACACGCTCAATTGCAGAGTTAATACGGAAAGAGAATAAAAAATACCTCGTTCACGATTTTCACATTGATTTTTCACGTACGCACAGGATTAAGTAAAATGCACCATTAAAATTGATTTCAGATGCCGGGGAGATGGCGCAGTGTGTAATGCAATTACCAGACAAGCGTGCGGACCTGAATTCACATCCCTAGAACCCACGTGTTTTAGTTTGCTTTCTCTGTTGCTGTGATAAAATATTCTGACCAAAGGCAGCTTAGGGATGCCAAGGGCTTATTTAGCTACACTTCCACGTTACAGTCCACCACTGAGGGAAGTCATGGCAGGAACCCCCGTGGGAGCTTGAAGTAGAAACTGTGGAGGGATACTGCCTGCCGTGGAGACGCAGTGCTGGCTGGATCAGTCCCTGGCTCACTGCTGTGTGGTGGCGCACACCTATAACACCAGCACTCAGGAGGCAGAGGCAGGCAGATCTCCGTGAGTTTGAGGCCAGCCTGGCCCATATAGAGAGTTCCAAGCCTCCCCGGTGAGATCTTCTCTCAAAAAAAGACAGGAGGTGGGGGTGCTTGCTGGAAAGATGGCTCAGTGGTTAAGAGCACTGGCTACTCCTGCAGAAGGCCAAGGTTTGATTCCCAGTACCTACATAGTAGCTCACAACTGTCTCTGCCTCCAATTCCTAGGGATCTGACATGCTCTTCTGGCCTCCAAGGAGCACCTGGCATGCACATGTGCACAGACATGTATGCAGGCAAAACACCCACACACATAAAATCATCTCTACAAAAGAAAGAAAAAACCCAAAATGAAAAACCCCTGATCCCTGTGAGAGGTATGCACCAAGGTCTCGGGGTACCAGTAGCTCAATTTCCCAGAATAGAGACGACACTGAGCAAATCTGGAAAGGCAGGCAGTCCTTTCCAGTTTACACTGGTTTGGAACAGCGGTCAGGACCATGGTTTGTATTTGACTTTGGAGTTTAACGTCTTCCTGAGGGACCTGCAGGCACACAGGACCTGGGCTAGCTCTCATTTTTCAGACAAGGAGAAGACATCAGTGTACAGTGCCAAGCCTCAGGCTGGGGCTTCTGATCTGTGTGTGCGGAACCTGACGGACTGTGGGCTCTCCCTCCGTCCAGCTGTGTAAATCCGCAGGAGCACAGACTTGGTGCCTGCGGAGTGAGTCCTCCAAGATCAACATCGGCAGTGGCTCAAGGGCACTTCCGTTTATAAAGCCATTTCCCACTCCTTAGTGTGACTGAACCTACCTGCCTCCCATTCAGCCTAGCGGATGGTGGAGGACCCTGCTGAGAGACGCTCAGAGCCGGAGGCAGTCTTGTCCTGCGACACTGACCGAACATGGTGCAGCTGGGACCAGCCCAGGGCCTCCGGACTGACATGTTGCTTTTCTATATATGTGCTGTGTGGTCAGCTCTGATGGATGAAGGAGCAGGAAAAAAAAGATGAGAGAAATGTACCTATCATTTCCTGAACACCTACTATGCTGTAGGCCCTGTGCGTACATCAACTGTTTAAAATCATTAACATCCACATTTAGGAATTAAGGGCTGGGGGAGGGGGGGCAAGATGTCACAGCCGGTAAAGGAGCTTTTCTGCCAAAACTGATGATTTGAGTTAAAATCCGGAAACCCACATGGTGATGTGAAAGAACCGACTCCTCCACAAGCTGCCTTCTGACCTCCACATAGGTGTCATGGTCCGTGTATGTATACGCACATAGACATACACAAACAGATGTAAAAAATAAAATAAAGGGATGCTGGAACCCTGGATTCTGGATCGGGGCTCAGTTGGGGTGACTACAGAGAATGTTCCAGGCCTGTCCACATAGGGTGGGGGGATGGTGGATAAGAAGATGCAGAGGTATTATTTATGTCTCCCAGTCACCTCATGAGGTATATCTTCTTGAGAGCCTGAAAGTCTGGCTCCCTCTGTCCTGATGCCTCAGCATCCAAGGTAGGATAGAGGGGTCTCAAAGAGGCAGCGGTGAGACCTCCCTAAAGCCATGAGCAGGGTTCTGGAACCATAGCCTCAAGACCAAGGAGGGGTGATAGGTTCTGACTAGACTGGCCAAGTGCTGGGATTAAAGGTGGGTACCACTGCACACAGTACACTCAAGTTTCTTTTCTTTTCTTTCTTTCTTTCTTTCTTTTTTTTTGTTTTGAGACAGGGTTTTTCTGTGTAACAGCCCTGGCTGTCCTGGAACTTGCTTTGTAAACCAGACCAGGCTGGCCTCGAACTCACAGAGAGCTGCCTGCCTCTGTCTCCTGGGTGCTGGGATCAAAGGTGTGTGCCACCACCACCACCACTGCCCGACTACACTCAAGTTTCTTAAAGTACTATATAAGTTAGCTTTTATTTAATTTAAAAAGTACATTTATTCTCTCTCTCTCTCTCTCTCTCTCTCTCTCTCTCTCTCTTTCTCTCTCTCTCTCTGTCTCTCTCTCTCTCTCCTCTCTCTCTCTCCCTCTCCCTCTCCCTCTCCATCCAAGAAAGCCATAACTCCCAGAGCCCCCTCACAACTAAGCAGGTCCATATGACTAATTCTGGACCATGAGTGTGGACAGAGACTACTCGGCCAGACAACTTCCAGGCCTGCTCCTAAAAGACCTCTCTGCAGTACCACGGCTGCTCTCTTGGCTCTCCCTTAATGGATGTTGAGAACCAGTGGTAGCCTGAGGGTCTGCTGGCTTCACGAGACAGAAGCTCCTGGGTTTCTGAATGTCTGAGTAGGGCCTCCCTCTTCCAGGCTCAAGGGCACAACCTCGGAGTGAATAAGGGATCACGGTACAAAGCAAACCTGCCTTGGCCGACTGGATCTCTGAACTCCGCTCGGCATCAGTCACCCGCGCTGGCTGGGGCACTGCTGCTGAGGGCCTCTTACCTGTAATCCTACGTACCTGTGCAGCCATGTGCTACAGAAAGGGACAGAATGACCTTGGACAGGGTCTTCACTGAGAAGGAAGTCATCACGGCTCCAGAGACCAAGGCTAGCCCCCTAACGTCAGCCGGACAGCTGCCCTATTACCCTCACAGCCATCATTCCCTTGAGTCTCCTGGCTTTAATTCTGCCATTCTGCACCAGAAGCAGGGAGGACTGGAGGAGGCCCTGGGGCTGCCCTCCACCCTCCCAGCTGCTCTACTACCGGTTCCCCTGGCAGCCTCCCGTGTAGTAGGAGTTCACTCACATGTTTTTGTGGAGGAGGATTTGAAGGAGGGATTTGAGTTTTTCCCTAGAGACGCCAGAGAGACAGTTTCGTCTCTGTACAACAGGCTCGCCCAGCTCCTCATATAAAGCTGTTTCTGTGGTTACCTGTCTTCTGGGATGTTTGCAGTGGGTGGGCATGGCAGGTGCGATCTGCCAGGGTATGCCGGGAGTTGAAGGAAGAGCTACTGTGCCCCGCCCTCCCTGGCACCCAGAAGGCCAGCTGTCCCTAGCATGGGAGGCATCAACCAAGCCCCCCTCCTCACTGGGAAAACCGAAACCACACTGAATGCCAGGGAGGCAAAGACCCAAAGAAGGTTGCTGGCCCCCCTCAGTGTCCGTTTTATGGGTGGGGAAACTGAGGCTGAAGGAGTCTAAGGGTTTTCTTGGCAAGATGGCTGGATGAGTTGGGAGAAGTAACTGCTATGGGAATCCAGGTCTTCCCGCCTCCAGGGCAGGCTCTTCCCTTTAACGAGGCGCGGGAAGGTGGGTGATAGGTGCACACGGGACTGGCGTGGAGAGGGAGGGAGGTGGGCCTGGCAGGCGGCCCAGACGGTGCTGGGGTGCCTAGGGCGACTCAGGCCTCTTTTCCACTTCCCTGGCCACCAGGGCCGCACTTCCTGCCAAGAACTGCCGGGGCGGGGGGCGCTGGAGTAAAGCCGGCCCCTCCGGGCGCCGCCTCTCGGCCTCTCCCACACCCGCAGGCCAGAGGCCAAGGGTGAGGGAGGTGGGACCCGTGCTCGGCCCCTCCCCTGCCCCGGAGTCCCGGGGGGGACTGACACCCAGCGGGGAATCTGCCAGTGGTCAGGGTGATAAGAACCAGGGGTCGCGCCCCGAGGGTCCAGCAGTGGGTGTGGCACGGGACGGGGGCGTGGCCGGGCTGCGGCCGGGGAGGTGCTAAGCCTGGGGGCGTGGTTGCGGCGGGGGGGGGGGGCGGGTCCGCAGGAAACTTGAGTGTCCGCCCCCGCCGTGCGCCCCGCCCCGGCCTCCGCCTCCGGGTCCCGCCTTCTCGTCCCTTCCTTCCCGGGCTGGCGGCGGCTGCGGGTGGTGGACCTGCGGAGCGGCGGTCGCCCACACCTCGCTCCCTCCTGAGCCGGCGGATCCTTTTGTCTCTGCGAGCGGCGAAGGTCGCAGGGCCGGCGCGGCGGCTGCGGGGCGCACGGACGCCCGCGCTCCTAGTCACTTCCCCGGCCTCAGCCGCCGCCGAACTTGGGCTCGAGAAGCCGGCGGACCGCGTCCAGTGCCGGAGCCGGTAGGAAAGGGGCGACTGCGGGGCCGCGGGGCTGCGTGGAGGGGAGCGCGTGTGCCCCGGCTCGCTGCGCCCCGGCTGTGTGAGTGCGCGGGTGTGTGCGCGCCGGTGCTGATGGTGCCCGTTTCTCTCTCTGCGTGGTGGACTTGCAGCTGACCGCGGACGGTGGCGTGGCTCTAGAATGGCGTGCCCTCGTGGGGGACTCGGTGTGCTCGGTGGGATGGTGCACTTTTCAGACTGCGTGTGTGGAATTGTGTGTCGGGGTGCAGTTGCCGGTGGGGACTAGGGCCGGGCGAGTGTGGAGCCACGGAGCCGCTGTGCGCAGCGTGGGGGTGGCGGGGTGGGCGTGGGCGGTCTGGCCCCGCAAGCTGAGCCCCCGGTTGGTGTCGCTCGGCGCAGTGCGTAGCTCAGGAACATGATGGTACGGCCAGGACCCGACGGGCGCAGTGCCTGCCTCGTGGGCAGCGGGCATTGATCTCCCCCCCCCCCCGAGAGGGGGGGACAAGTCCACAGGGTCCACGTGGGACGCTTGTGAGCTTCGAAGAGGGATGGGACCCGCGCGGTGGTGATCAGCTCTGGGACAGTGGGAAAACACCAACGCAGCCCTGGTCTCGCCGTTACCCGCCCTGAGACCTGAGCCAGACACGCCACCTTCTTTCTTGGGTCGCAGTTTGCGTCTCTATCATATAGGGACGGGCCCTCTGGAGCTGTCTTGACCGAGTGAGAACGCACTATGTGCAGTTTTTGACCCAGAGCCTTGCACACAGTAGGTGCTCTTCGCTGGCTTCTCCTCTTTTTTTAAAAAAAAAGAAATCTGTTTTGCCTATATTGTGGATGACGCTCTCATTTCCTCCTCGGCTGTGGTTTGTGCCTCCCTTCCTGGCTCTAACTTCACAGCGAAAGCTTGGAGATTTGAGAAAGTTTAGGCGGCTGGGTGCGCTGCCTCCTCCCCGCACCTCGCGGGGCTGCGTGGCGCGGCCTTTTGGGGGGTGTGGGAGCTCGCCGTGCGCGGCGCCAGCCTGGAAAGCTCCCGCATCCGTGAAGGGTTCCGAAAGGCTGCGACTACGGACTCGGGAGCCCTTCTGTTCAACAAGTGCCTGGGGGGAGGGGGGGGGGAATGTCGCTTGTGGGATTCGAGTCGCTATGTGAAAGTGGCCGTCTCCGCAGACTCGCAGTCTGGGGTTCCTGGAGCCTTCCTCCTGGCCTGGTCATTCGGGAGGCCACCCTCTGCTCTCCTAGCCGCTACCGAGTCCACCCAGAGGAGGGTGATGGCCAGGACTCCAAACCCTGTTAGACACTGCCCCACCCCCCCCTCAAGCCCCACCTGCCCCTGCTTTCATGCGGTCAGCCTGATGCAGGAGGCCGAGGTCCGCGTGGTACCCCTCCTACCAGTTCCAACCATTGATTTAAAAAAAAGAAATATATATATATATATATATATATATATATATATATATATATATATATAATAGTGTTGAAACCTGGTAAAAACTACACTGCCCTGATACGCATCCTGTTCTTAGTTTACTCAGCCCAAACCGCACCTGAGCATTTGCTCTGCGCCAGCCAGAGAGGCGCGTGGGGCTGCTGCCGCGGCCCTGGCAAGTCCCTGGATTGCTATTCTTCTCCGCCTTGTTCTTCTCAGGACCCTTCCCAGTTTAAAAACAGCCTTTAAGCAAAGGGAGGAACAGACCCTTTTGGTGCCAGGGATTCTCAAAATGGAGCTCTGGTGGGCACTGGGCTGGGGTGGGGATGCCTGCCACCGGCCTTAGTATGGGATGTGTTCCAGAGTCCGGCATGCTCCTCGCTGCTCCTGATTTGTGCTCTGTCAGAAGCTGGCAGATCTTGCAGGCGTTGAGACATGGAAGCAGAAACCTCTGGTTTGGGTCCTTGGGTTTGTCTTCAGAGCCCTGAGATCTTTGGGATGATGGCCAACCAGGGATGTCATAAGCTGATGCGTCATCCTGATTTGATGTCGGGGACTCACTTTACAAAAACCACCTGTTCTGAGTCTTATCGAATGATTTTATATCCTAAAGAGAAAAGGCCTTTTGATTGGAATCTTATCTCCCCCAAATCGGATTTAATAATCATTTTTAAAAATCAGTCTGGCTTTCCCAGCTCAGAAGACAGACCCCAAAGCTGTCTTGTTTGGTTTTGCTTTCCTAGTTAGAGCCAGCCCTTGGTCTCAAGCAAACCAGTATTTTGGCCTTCGATCTATTTCTGTTTCACTTTTGAGAGCGCCTGTAATTACGGAGCTCTTGAGGTTTTATTGGCTAATGTGCCAATGGGAAGGCCCAGGGGCTGTGCCTCTCCCCTGTCTGGGGATGTAATGTCACTGCCTAGCCTGGACCGCTCCTTTGAGCCCTACTTTTACACTGTTTCCTAGGTGGAGCACAGCTGTCACTGTGTCATAACAGGCCAGGAGTCGTGACTTTGAGAATGGATGTCTGCAAGGCTGTTGGCTTGTGGAGAGAGAGATCAGAGCAGGCGGACAGCCCCGAGGAACAGGGGTTTGCCCAAACTTTGGCCATACACTTACTCCTGACCAACAGAGAGGGGAGGGGAGGGAGAGGGAGAGGGAGAGGGAGAGGGAGAGGGAGAGGGAGAGGGAGAGGGAGAGGGAGAGGGAGAGGGAGAGGGAATTGTTTTAGACTCTGGCTCAGCCCTTCTCTTTGACCACAAGGCTGTGCACAATTAGAAATTCCCATGGAGGGAAAAGGAAGGGGTCCAGGGCCCCTTGCTAGATCAGCTCCATCCCTACCCAGAAAGACGGTTTTTTGTTTTTTGTTAGCTGGTGGACCTGCAGCCCTTAGCCTTTGGAGCTCAGTACTCGGGCTCCCAAGGCCTGCCTT